ATAAATAATATATATATATATATATATATATATGTTCTGCATGAATACACTCTTAAGGCAAAAGGAGGTGAATCCAAACCAACCATAACGAGCTGATGATGATGTCAAAAGCATCAAATTATTAAAGTCAATGACACTTCTTTCTAGATTAATAACATTAATTTCATCTAAATATGCTGTTCGGATTTACTTTTAGGTTAATATTATCTTGACAAGATTTCGGTGGCATATTGGATTTATCTAAGATGATCTGGTAGAATTAAAAGATTTGATTTCTACATTTCATGTCCATATATAGGATCATATATATGTTTCTCTGTGTAAATGTAGTAATAGGGGACTGCATCCGTGAGTGCCTTTTGTCTGAATTTGTGTATTTCAAACATAAACTATGCATATACATGTCTTCACACACACACACAGATATATTTGTTTGTGTTACTGTATGTATGTATTTGTGTTTAATAAATTCTAATTTTGTGTATAAATTATGAGTGTCTGGAAATAAGCTATATATATATATATATATATATATATATATATATATATATATATATATATATATATATATATATATAGTGATTAAATATTAATTTGCCATAATGTAGGTCTTCCATTTGAACTGGGATATAACGCTTTCAGTTTCCTTACGTCTATTTACAGCGTCGACTTCTGGAGCGGGAAGTAATCCTAAAGTCCTTAGAAAAATGTTCGTTATCAACGATATTGCATAAGCGGTAATTACATGATCGAGCAATTTATCCATGTTCAGAGCCGCTTAAGTAAATTTACTCACTGTCTATTTTTACCAGACGTCTGAACACTTTTATAAACGGTCCATACAATAACCTGTATAATTAAAGAAGATTTAACGTTGCACAAAATCATTCCATCTTTAGTCGTCCTGCCATTCGAATCTTTCTCTCTTTTACTTCTCTCTCTTTCTCTCTTTTACTTCTCTCTCTTTCTCTCTTTTACTTCTCTCTCTTTCTCTCTTTTACTTCTTCTCTCTCTTTTACTTCTCTCTCTTTCTCTCTTTTACTTCTCTCTCTTTTCTCTCTTTCTCTCTTTTACTTCTCTCTCTTCTCTTTACTTTCTCTTTCTTCTCTCTTCTCTCTTTTCTTCTCTTTCTCTTTTCTCTCTCTTTCTCTCTTTTACTTCTCTCTCTTTCTCTCTTTTACTTCTCTCTCTTTCTTTCATGAGTTACGTGATTTTGTGGAAAGGTATTTAAGAGGTTGATGCAAAAGTTACCAGTTCTATATTTTGGATAATATTAGGGAAATATAAGAAATTGTCTTTGAAATTCACTTTGCTCATTATTGGCTGTGCGATCAGTTAAATGTAGCATTGTGTTTAGAACCTGGGAATAATGGTTCCAAACAAAAGTAGAAATGGAATTCTATGTGTGGTCGTAGGGCTTCTGCGCATCTGAGCACCTGATCAGTCAGCCCCCACATGTCTCGGTAGGTATTCATTCATGCATAGCGTATCTTGTGTAAAGCAAACTCGGCGTAGCCCATCCATCTCCAAGTCAGATCACAACCGATGTGGCCGCTGATTTAATCGGAGAGAATCCTCATTCATGGTTATTGATTTCCGTTTCGGAAGGCCACTACTCCGCCTAGCGATGCCATGTTATCACTGCCCTTAATATACTTCTATTCGTTCGCAGAGATTTAGCCTCCAGACGATTGAAACACGCTTTAGTTTCTCTATTTCAGCTGAACTCATCATTGGTGAGAACCTCGGAATCACTCTACATAAACTTAACCAATGTTGTTCAGTGCAAGATGAACCTGGGGATTTTTGAAGGCCTCGCTGGACGTCGGAGTAAACGGATCGACGTTAAATGTTATTATTATAATTTAAATACTTGAAATTTTAGTTAACATAGAAAAAAATTATCATTTTGGACAAGAAAATTATTTTTGATAAAAATTGAATTAATCAAGAGATTCTAAAACTAATAATATAAAATCATAGCTCGATCGATCCGCAGAAAATGTATTCACTCTGTTTAGTGAAATTCAAAAACAAACCCTTAACGATTAATTACTGGATTGTTACTGTACAATGCTACATTGAGCAATGGGCTTATTTGAATGATTCATTGAAATAAAAGGGCAATTTTTCTGGGCATCAATGTCAATTATGTTATTGCCGTGTCGAGTAATGATGACATAATACTTTATCTCTTATATTTAACATCACATTTTATTTCGCTTCAATACCCTGTCAGTTACTCTCGACCAGTGAGAGTGTGCGCTCCGGCGGCCCCAGAGACCTCATCCGGATGTGGACCTTACATTTTCGCCTGCGATATCTGAGAGACTCTCTATGCCTTTGACCGCTGGGGTGGATATTTATATATCTATCTCTGTCATGCAGTTCTTTTTCCTGAACTTACAACCTAGTTGCATCTAGTCTGGTCGCGTGGCCCCCACTCGGCGGTTAGGCGGTCTTTTCTGATCAGTTATACTCCTGCCTTCTTTGCAATACAGTGTGGAGTATATTTTGGCAAGATCTGGAATGAGATACATAATACATTGGCTTATTTGATGACATTACCTATGATTATGTTGCAGATGAACATGAAACCCAGACTCAAAGTTCTTCCATAATCAGCGTTTTTCTCAAGATCTGTCGTCTTCAGAAAATTAATTTCTTTGTTCAATGTTGTATTCTTTGTCCAGGCCACATATTCTCTACGTATTCCATTGATAAGGAGGAAGTTCTTTCCTAGAATTGTTGTATTTTGGAAAAGATTCTTGAGAGTTTCCTTACCGATCATTAAAATTCTAACATTTTCGAATCGAGAGCCAGCCGTTATCTATCCTACATATCTTCAAAATATGTACCGTTTGCTTCCTCCCTGTACGCGCAACACTCTCATTTAGTAACCCTCTACCTTTAGTGGCTCTTGGGCCTTGTATTTGGTGCACAATATTAAAAAAAAACAAAACAAAGCAGTTCCAATTTCAGGGTATCATAAAATAAGCAGAATTTTTCGAATAAAAACTGGTATTCTTATTTTATACCGGAATGTTATTGAAAGACTGCGTATGGCCATAGAAAGCGAAGGAAAATGTAGGGTGAGGCAGAAATAGCTCCCACATAATGGTAAGACATTATTGGTAATGGTGTCTTCTAGCATTATCATTATGTACGTGGTATTTGTGCCGCACCTTCTACTTTGATAACTAAATAATTAAGTTACGAATTTATATGAATTTTCTAAAATAAATGTCATGTTTTCTCTTGCACTTTTTTCTCTATTTATTCGGACTATTGTTCTCATGCTGATTATTATAGATGTTTTTTAGGGACATGACGTTTCGGCCAAGTACACTTTGGCCATCTTCAGGTGTCCATTATTTTGGCTGATGTGAGACATCTGTTGATTATTTGTTATTTTGTCCCTATGATGCAAGTAAATTCTTATTCAGAATATATTAGTAATTCCTCATCTAAAAAAAAAAAAAACGAAAATAAAAACATCACAAAAAGGTAGGAACCCACCATAATAACCAATATCGAAAACATCTGAAACTGGATTTCAAATGCTCTAAAAGCACAACATTGGCGTTCAGTCAGTACTTGACGTATTTGTTTAATAATTCCTATCTTTATCATTAGTTACACAAAGAACTAGTATTCACATAATTACCTTCTAGCTAACCGCTTCTTGAAAGATATGAGTAAATGAAATTAGTATTTTAAATGCCTGATAAGAAACCCGAGCTTGAAGCAAGTAGCTATTGTTATTACAGTTCTGGGTATGATGATAACCTACATCCGACAGTAAGGCCGCTGATCGAGAGATTCGAGGATTTGGGGGAGCATTGCTGTTGTTTCCAGGTCCACACTGACTGGGGGTGGTAGCACCAGTTAGGGTCCCATCTATGGGAAAATCGTGACCCCACCCCCAAACAAAAACAAAAGAACTATGAAAGTATAGAAATGCAAGCAATACATTTTAATATAAAAAATTATCACCAGTACCTATTTATAGTAAAATTACTACCAATACATTTTATAGTAGAATTACTAATAATACCTTTTATAGAAAAAATGACGAACAATACATTTTATTAGTGATTGACGGCATGCAGTTGCGTTCAAAATATTTAGATTTCGGCATTAAATAACCCCTTAGTTCGATTGAGGAATCGGAGAGCCGAGTTCGAATTCCAGTCGAATCCATTGCATTCACTTACGTGCTAATACCCTTGGGAAAGGTATGAATAATCGTCTTCTCCCCGCCAGCTATGGGTAAATAGCAGAACAGACTGGGTTCTATAATCTTGGTCTACCGCAGAAATGGCAACCTATTGCGGGAAAAAAATCTGTCTACTCAGATTCGAAACATGACACATAACTGACTGACTGAGAGGTCGATATGCTGCTAAACAAAATCAACAAATTTTGCTATTGAATATATTTCTGAGAAAATAATCTGAGCTAAATATTTATAAGCTGTCGACACCTTTCAACCCGGCAATTCAAATGCTGAATGATGTTTAACCTTTTTCTATTATTTATTAACATTAATTAATTAATATTATTGTAGTCAGTACCTCATCGAATAATGATACTTTATTTTTCATTCCGAGTTGTGGGGAAATTCGGTGCAAAATCGATCGGATTTATCGATCGTACATAGATCAAACTTTCCTCTTTGTGTAGTGGGGTACGGATAGCATAAGGGTTGTCGGTGCGGTTAAGTGAAATAGGCGAGCAGAGTTCAAATCCATTGTCTGTTGTTTTCACGTTCACGGTGTCGCTCTTATGAAAAGCAAGAATGCATCTTCCATCCTTGCAGTTTTGGATTAGATAGCAGGAAAGATTAGGTTCTCCAGCCTTGGGTGCCAACCAGTCTAAAAGAAGGAAATCACCGAATTCCAAACTATGGGACAGGCAACGAGAATCCAATATGTTTCCCAAGAAGTCTCATGGTGATTCGCATAAAGAAAAGAAAGCCTGGTGGGGAAATAGCATTTTTAAAAAATAATAATATTGGGGAGATACTGGCTGAACAAGTAGGAGGAGTTATAGGTTTGAGCAGGATGCGAGGGATTTTGAGAGAGTCGCGAGTAGAGTGACAGAGAGAGAGAGAGAGAGAGAGAGAGAGAGAGAGAGAGAGAGAGAATGTCATGATCACAAAAAACTTTTTAAAAAAAGTAGGCACAAATAGGATGTATGTATGTATGTATGTATGTATGTGGAGAGAGAGGGATACAATAGGCACGAGCTACAGAAACAGAGAGGTGAAACTGGTAGTAGTAGAGTGAGAGATAGAGAGAAGAATTGGAATATAGACGAGCAGGATGAGAGAGAGAGAGAGAGAGAGAGAGAGAGAGAAACAAATAAACAAAGGAGATAAGTGAAATCGGGATGACCAAGTGTGTATGAGTGTGTGAGAGAGAGAGAGAGAGAGAAAGAGAGTAAGAGATAAAAAAAATAGGCACGAACAGAGAGGGTGGGGTGTTGTAGAGCTAGACACCGTCAGAACGAGTGATGCAGCTTATATGAGTGTTTATAAAATAGAAAAACCTTTGAGAAAAATTAAAAAAAAAGACTTTTCAGTAAGTGACACCTTCTTCGTCATTAGTTCGACCCACGAGTTATGTGTATATTGCAAATGCCCGTGTATTCTCTGTTGCTTTTGCGTCTCTAATAAAAAATATACAATAAAAACGTGTTTAGGTGTTGCTATAAAAACGTGTTTAGGTGTTGCTATAAAAACGTGTTTAGGTGTTGCTATAAAAACGTGTTTAGGTGTTGCTATAAAGAATTCCAAGTAGGATGTTCGCAGGTCGATATGTTCTTCTTTTGTTTATGTCTTGTTTTAGTTTCCGCGTTTAGATTTTTTTTTCAAATCATCTTTTTCAATATTTTCTTATTTGGGATTTTTTCGTTTTACTTTTAATTCTTTTGCATTTTGTTTTTATTCTTACCGTATTTATATTTTTATTTTAGGTTTGAATTTTCTTTTAATCTCAGTCTTTTTAATTTTCTTCTTTTCTTATTTTTTCCTTTTCCTTGATTCTATTATTTTTCTTACCCATTCCCACTCTCATTTTGTTTTTTGCTTTTTCCTTTTACACTACGTTTGTTTTCATCTACTATTTTTTTTTCTTTTTCTCTCTCTATCTATCTATCTATCTATCTATATATATATAAATATATATATATATATATATATATAACATACATGAACATTATGTGAACACTCATCGGCGACAGCCTGTCGCCGATGAGTGTTCATTAATGTTCACTTTTATATATATATATACATACGCTCTGTCTCTGATATTGGAGCACTTTCTCCCATGAATATATCACACGTTAAAACTATATTTCTTCATATATATATATATATATATATATATATATATATATATATATATATAATGTGTGTGTGTGCACGTGCTCGATTGTTAGAACGTTCACATTCTGATCATGAGACCCGGGTTCGAATCTCACCATGGTCAATTTGTCAGGAAGGAGACTTCCTGATTTTATCAGACTGCAGGGGTCGATCCCAGCGTGTGGCATATTTGGAAAGTGCCTGAAAATCATACCAAAAGCCTTATGAGTAAAATTTGGTAGACGGAACCCTTGGAGGCCGTCGATATCTGTGCTGGCATGAGTCATCGTGGCCGAGGACTTGAGCATGATGGCCTTGTTCAAATTGTTGATCACGCTAGATAGCATGCCCTCCCAGAAACTATAACTAAGCATAGTTACAGTATAAACCATAGGTTGATTCCGAAGGTGTTGAATAAAGACGAATGCGCCTGAGCAAGCATCTGCAATAGGGATTGACTAGCCGCCCTAGTAAACGAGTATCCTCGAATACGAGTACACACACACACACACACATATATATTGTCCTTTCTATTTCTTTCGACAACACTGTGGGAAAGATATCTTGCAACAGGGAAATAATGATTCATACCTATTTAAAAATTATTAGTATTAGATTAACATAGACATCCTTAGTTGGAATTGGACCCTTTTGCGTTGGTTTCCGTGGAGGAAACATTACTAAGTTTTCAGGTGTTCAGCTTAAAGCGTATTCGCAAGAAAGTGAAAATTGTGTTGCGCTCATTTTTTCGATTGAAGACTATTTACATTATTTACATTATTCGGACTATTGTCCTCATCTTTGTAGCCATATTTGTTACAACGTTTCGGCCGGGTATTGAACTCACATTCTTTGGGTCCTGTCACTGGATCTAACTAACGCCTTTATCCACTGTGCCATGTTAATACCCGCTTAAGGCAGTGGAGTACTTTCAGATGGAAATTAACAGGAGATAACTGATAACTGGCATCCATTAAACATTGCACGTGGAACTAGAACAGTCTACCCCAGTGAGCGAAATAAAGGGTTCAGTTCGACATTCCAGCCAGCTGAAGAAGGCCGGAGCATACAACGGTGACATGATAGGACAAAGATGAGGACAATAGTCCGAATAATTTAAATAATGCACATAATACCGCATCTCAGAAATATAGACAGGTACTGAAGAATATTTGGTTGCCTGGAAAATGAGTATTCTTAATATTGTTTGTTTTTATCTGGAATATAAGACTGACAACTATAGCCATTGGTAAAATACGCAACTATTTCAGCCATCAAACGGGGGTTTCCCGCTTTCTCTTTTTTTCCTTTCACTTTATTTGGCGGGGGAGGGGGCTCAATCTGTTTTCATCTTTTTTTTTTATTTTCTTCTTTTTATGGGTTTGGATTTTTTTTATAATTTTTATTAGTTGTTCGATTTCGTTTTCATCTCTTTTTACTCGACCATTTTTCTCACCCAGGCCTCCACCTCATTTCGCTTTTACCTTTTAACGATTAAAAAAAAGGCCCCTATAACTTTGTCTTTATTAACCCTTAACACTATAAATTTCTCAATTATTTTTTTTCTTCGGGTCATATACTTACACGGCATTTCTTCCATCCCTACTACAGCTCTCCTCGCCTTCTTACTTAAGGGAGAAAAAGAAAAATGACTGTAATTACTCTTTCAAAGAAGTGGGTATGAAAAGAGAAGAGAAAACATGGGTTTTTTAAAAAAAGTGTTCTATCAGCGTCTTCATGATTTGCACCACTAGGCTCGGTAGAAGAAGAAGCACATGCGTACGATAATCTTTAAAAAAAAAAAAGACTTAAAATGTCTCTCTTTTTACGGAAACTGCTCTACAAAAAAGTAAATGATAGTCAGGACAGGCTTGCAAGGGGTGCAGATGATAAAGCGATTTGGAATGATTTGTATGCTGTAAGATGGCGTCGATCTTCTTATACGCTTCTTGTTTCCTTTTTTTATTGTCTCTTCTGTTCGTAAGCCATATTTTAATTTGTTTTTTCTCTGCATCGTTTTTGTTACTTTTATCAGGTTGGCGTTATTGAGTTATTTTTTTTTATTATTATTTTTTACTTTTTCTCTCTCCCTTCCTTTCTCTCGGTAGATATTTCGGGGATTTTTATCGGTGAAACCTAATTTTTTGGAATGGATTCTATTGAAGATGTGTATTTTATTGTTAAATCTTGTTCCTTTTTCCAATAAAATATATATATATATATATATATATATATATATATATATATATATATATATATATATATATATATGTATATGTATATATATATATATATATATATATGATATTTAAAAAAACATATACATATATATATATATGATATTTAAAAAAACATACATATATATATATATATATATATATATATATATATATATATATATTTAAAATATATATATATATATATATATTTAAAAATATATATATTAAGAGGGATTTCTATTTGTGTTTTGGTTTATACTGACAACAATTATCTTTCAATTGTTTGTCGTTGGCTTTTTTTCCTATCTTTGATTTGTTTAATAGGTTGTTTTTCTTTTAATGTGACATTTTTGTTTTATGGAATGGGGTTTGCATTTTATTTTAATTGTATTTTTTTGTTACTTGATCTGACAGAATTATCTGTGTACGCATATACACACACCTAAAAACACACACACACACACACACAGATCACTTCCCCTTAAAGAGATACTTTACACCCTCCTTTTGTAAACAACACAAGCTCATTATCAAAAACAAGGCGTACCTTTGAGTAGGACTGTTGTCTAAAATAAATTCAAAACCCCAATTGCAGACGGGCACTCGAGGGCTGATGAGAATCGGCATTAAGTTGTGCCGGACTGAAATAGACTATACCCACATGATTGAGATTTTTTCTGTAAAAAATATATATGCTCTCTTATAATAAATAAATTGAGCTCGTTGCGGATCAATTTTAATATTTGATATTACTAGCATCCACCTTGATTATATACTAACGGATCTATTACCTGTATATATATATATATATATATATATATATATATATATATAAATTATTTATTTAAAATTTATAACATAAATATGTGATAAAATCACTACAAATTTTGTTTCAACACCTCTGGTGTCTTATCAAGTGATGATGTTAAATGTAGAATAAATGGTTTTAAAAGTTTCAAATTAATTAACGATCCTTCGCAAGGGGAAAAGCGTTTTCCCCTTGCGAGTTCCTCACCCCAAAACAAGAACAAAGGTCCATATAAACATTTCAATTATTAAGTTTAAATAAAGTTTATGGTAGATGGTGCCGTGTTGTCATGTAGACTAGGTTCCAGACCTGCTAGAGGATGTATCCCTGCTAAGACGAACATTCAAGTAGTTTATGCATGATGGGGCTTCAGCATATTTTAGTCAGATTGTTCGCGATGCACTGGATGACATCTACCATGAAAGATGGTTAGGTAGGGGACTTATTGCTATGTAATTTACAGGTAAGAACTGTAGATTAACGGCTCGTATAATAAGGTTCTTACATGTAAGGTAATTACAGTCTTTCTTAATAATTTTCTTACTTGTAACCGAGTTAGCGACTTACATAATAACGTATTTCGATCTAAGGTAACGACATAAACATTTTACCGTTAAGTTAATATCTGTCATAATAAGCTTCTCACGTGTAAGCTAATTAAACGCTTTTAAATATTTCTCTTATCGTTAAGGTAATTAAACGATTTAATAATAAAGTTGTTACCTGTAACTTAATTAAAGTCATTCCTAATAAAATTTTTACTGTTAACTTAATTAAAGTCATTCCTAATAAAATTTTTACTGTTAACTTAATTAAAGACATTTATAATATTGTTCTTATCATTAAGTTAATTAAAGGCTTTTTAACAATGTTCTTACCTTTCGTAGTAAAGTACGTAGCTACAAGTTAATTAAAAGGTTTTCATAATAAAATACTTGTAAATTAATTAAATTCATTCATAATAATATTCTTACCTCTAAGTTAGTGACATACATAATAATTTACTTACTTGTAAGGTAAAAACTTTTATAATTACCAGTAGATTAATTAATTAAAGGTCTTCATAACAATGTTCTTACCTGTATGTTAATAACAAACATTTTCATAATAAGGTTAATTAAAAGTTTCGATCATAATATTCTTATCTGTATATTATTTAAAGGCTTTCATAATAAAGTTCTTGCCTGTAAGGTAAAGACGTACAGTTCACGAACTTACTAATTAAATAAAGAAATTCGTAAAATTTTCTTCTTTGTAAAACCATTCAGAATAATGTTTTACTTATAAATTAATTAAAGACAATCCTGATAATATTCTTACTGTTATGGTCCAAGGTTAGAACCAAGGAAGAATAATACGAACACAAGATTAGAATAACAAAGATATATTACAACAGAAATATAGTATAAGAAGTTGAAGTTGTTAGTAATGACTGTCCGTCTTGTTTAGAGTGAACTAATATTGTCTCGACTCGTTACACCATTCATTCATTATACCTCTTGAGAGGCGCAGTATTTATAGTGTCAGGAAGAGTCTATTATCGTTATAGGTAAGTTCCCATAACACTTACCTGTATGTTAAATACATAAATAATAAATAATATAATTATAAAGTTTTGAAAGAATTTTCAGTATTTTTTTTATTTAAATGCCGTTTTAGTTTAAATGACTATAAAATTTTATTACATAAATATAAACTGATAAGAGAATAATCGATAATTGTAGAGAAAATCACAAAATTGCAATAGATATTCTATTCCCTGTTTATTATACAATGAAAAAAATGGAAGGGTTTAATTAAATAATTTCGAAAAATTACATTGCAATTAGCAAACTATGTACATTTTTTTGGGAGGAACACTTTTGCATGTATATCGATAAAAGATTTATCCGAAAGGTGAATATTTACAGTAGATGACGAAAGCAGACAAATAGAAAAGTTTTGTACTCGCGTGCTGAAATGTTTTCTGGGGAACAGTCACCTCGTCATATCATATAAAAGCAAATACTAGAAATTTAAGAAACCTAAAGCAATGCGTAAAATGCTATGAATTGTAGAGAGACTTCACTTGCAAGTAAATTAATAAAGTCACAGTTTAAAACAAATGTAAGAATCAGCAATATTATTGGTCCTGATCTGGCGTCTCAGCTTTAGTCACTTTTCCATCACCTTAAAGTTGCTTCCATGAGGCTTTTCTATAAATACTTCCATCGTAACTATTTGGATGAGCTCTTCTCTGTGGGTCTAGTTTTTAAATTGTTGTTTTATTCCCCCCCCCCTTACAGACAATGAAGTGTACATATGGGGATTTTCATAGACACAATGAGGTATTATGATGAATGTTGCAAGAAAGGTAAGTAAGAATGTGTGTGTTTTTTTGGTATTAGGAATATTGTAGTATGTTTGGGTCAGTGTTTGTGGCTAACTAAGTTTAAAGTTAAGACAAATGAAGACCGTCCTTTATCCCATTGACCATTTTGACCTTGTGCCACAGTTTGTAAATATTTACAAATAAATATCGCTCTTCGCTGTTGTACCTAGACTTTATGAATAAACGCAGTTCTAGATTGGAAGATGGCTAAATGTAAGCTCTATGGTAATGGTTTCTTGTCTCTCACTTCTTGTTTTTGGAACTCCCTTCCGGCTCCATG